ACTCTCAGACTGAAGAAGTCTCTTGGAAGAGAGACGAAACGTTTCATTAAAGAAGAACCCGTACAGAGGACCTATACAATTTTTTTCCTTTGATTTTTTACCTGGATTACTGAGATGCATCAGGACATTTTGTTTTAATGCTTTGCATTATATTTGGGATTGTGCACATTAAAATAAGAAATAAGAGTTTGAAGTAAAACTATAATTCTAGTTCAATGTTATTGGTTTTATTGTGTGTTTGATGTTCTTTAGGTGATGGTCGTTACTCTTTGTTGGGGCAGCCTCTTCAGTACAGTCTCTGTCCTCCACATCTCATGCATGGTCAGTCCTCCTACAGCTCCCACCAGGTCAGTACCAGCAGACTTCTGTACTCCCAACTGTTTGGGATATAGAGATACTGATGACCATAAATTATAAAATTAAATATCATTCTGTGTCAGTCAGGTGTTAAACACAGATTTTTTCTTTACAAGACGTTTACAAAAATATTAATAAATCATGTTGCTCACACTATTTATGGTGGGGATGGTGCGCTGCTGACCTCAACTCGGGACGTTGTGGGTCAGTGGGCGGAATACTTCGAAGACCACCTCAATCCTACCGACATGTCTTCCCATGAGGAAGTAGAGCCTGAGGACCCTGGTTCGGACTCTCCAATCTTTGGTGCCGAGGTCACTGAGGTGTTTAAAAACCTCCTCGGTGGCAGGCATCGGGGGTGGATGAGATTCACCTGGAGTTCTTTAAAGGGACCCCCGATTAGTTGTAACATTAGACTTTATTTGATAAACATATCCTTTAACTGTAAAATAAAGACTGTAAAAATACTGTAGGATGTTTTGTTTTTATCATTTTTAAACTAAAAGTTTAAAAATATATTACACGGACGGGGCCATTTACATGCAAAGCATTCTGGGTAAATGATGATGTCAACTAGGTCATTGGTGCGAGGCTGCTAGCGAGCTTTATCCACCCTGAAGGTTAGTCTTGGACGATATCTGATGATTGGCTCTTTTAAATGAAACCAGAGAGCGTTGACAGAGAGGAGAAGGTAGAAATGACTCGGCCTGTAACTGAAAATATGGATGGAGGACAAAACAGAGCTGCTTCATGGAAGAAGAACATCAGTTTAGCCTGTTAGCTTCAGCGTTAGCGTTAGGCAATAGCCTTATATGTATTAGCTCAGCGCTACACATTCTCCTCTCGTCACTGAGGTCCTCCATCCACATGACAGAGAGGGGAACGCAAAACTGACTCAGCCTGCAACTGAAAATATGGATTGAGGACTACAGTTTAGCTTTTTTGTCATGCTAGCACCGAGCTAATACATATAAGGCAATATAGCGTCAGCGCTAGCACAAAGACTAACAGACTAAGCTGGGGTTCTTCTTCCATGAAGCAGCTCTGTTGTCCTCCATCCATATTTTCAGTTCCAGGCTGAGTCATTTCTACCTTCTCCTCTCTGTCAGCGCTCTCTGGTTTCATTTAAAAGAGCCGATCGTCAGATATTGTCCAAGATTAACCTTCAGGGTGGATATAGCTCACTCACACCGAGGACCTATCCATGTCATCGTTTACCCAGAATGCTTTGTGTGTAAATAAAATGGCTCCATTCATGTTAAAATATATTTTTTAAAATTTAAAAAACTAAACAGCCTACAGTATTTTTACAGTCTGTTTTACAGTTAAAATATATGTTTATCAAATAAAGTCTAATGTTACAACTAATCAGGGATCCCTTTAAACCTGATTAGTCAGTTTCAAACTTACAGATCTGAAACAGGAAGTTGGAGACGTAACCAACTTTTAGTTTGTTTCTTCCAGAGTTGTAAAGTAACTAAGTACAAATACTTTGTTACTGTAAAAGAAATTTTGGTTATCTGTACTTTACTTGAGTAATTATTTTTCAGCACTTTTTACTTTTACTCATTACATTTTTGCAGAATTATCTGTACTTTCTACTCACTACATTTTTTAAAGAGGTAAGAAGTAGAAAGTCGTTACTCCTATTTTATTCCGAGTTGTTATTACTTAGAAAATACTATATTGAAAAGTTGTGTCTCCTGGACAGAGTGAATTTAATTGTGGTTGGATGAGAAGTATAAATATATACCATTCTGACACCCTATTAGCTTGTACACAACCCATCACAGCTGCACGCCGTTAGAAAAAATATTTTTTGAAGGAGTCACCTCCCAATAAATGTCATTTTGGAAAATCTAACTGCTCACTTTTACTCAGTACTTTTATTTTTAATACCTAAGTAGATTTTGTGTCAGAAATTTACTTTTGATACTTATGTACAAAAAAATATCAGATACTTTAAGACTTTTACTCAAGTGTAGGGGTCACCTCGAGTGAAGAAACAAGATTTACTGCCTCGAAGTAGGCCTCGGACAGGCCTGACGAGAGGACAGGAACTCTGTCACAAACTGAACTCTATTTAGGCCATGACAGGTCGTTCTGACCGTGGAAGAGAACCCCTCAGTTCTCTTAATCAGATAATGGACAGAACAATCTCTTCTGTTCGTGAYTCATTTGTTGTTTAACTAAGAATATTTATGCATTTGTTGAATCATGATAATGACTGTCACAGGAAAAGTGGAACCACTTCTTCTCTTTTATTGTGCCTTAAAGATTTATAATGGTATAAAACCACAGAGAATCTGATTACAATGTTTTCATTGTGTTTTTATGTAAATCACTGTTTTTATTTTACTGTGAACACTGTAATATAATTGTGGATTTTTCCTGAGAAAATCTTTCATTTATCTAGACTAACAGAAGGTTCAGAACTGATTATAAAAAATAAATTTTAATTAATCATCATAAATGTTTTGCAGTGATTTCTCTTAGAGTCTATCCGAAGGAAGCTGAAAAGAGGTTATCATATCATGTTGTTGAACAACCACAGAATTTTAACGTTTTAATCTTTCTTTCTCTGGCTCATCTCTAAGCCTGAGGGCGGAACCAAAGTTCGTCCGTTTCTTTTACTAACCCGGGCGGCTTTGAGCAAGACGCTCTTCTTCCTGATTCCAACCTGGGAAGACAGCTGGGATTCTCTCCGGAGAAACCTCAGTTTGGCTTAAAGTCTGATCCCATGAGCTAATTAGGGAAGACTTCACAGCCAGGGACTCGGCACGCCTGCCGGTGGTTCCAAATCGAGGCTTCAAGCCTCTAAGTGTGTTTTTAACTCCCGAGGGGAGATTTTATTTTGGAAGGAGGAACCGGATACAGCTTGAATTTTTCTGGCTTGGACTGAAACAGACGAACGTTCCCTGGAAAAACACCTGTTCGCCAATGACCGGTAAGCGAGCCGACATCAGTTCNGACTGAAACAGACGAACGTTCCCTGGAAAAACACCTGTTCGCCAATGACCGGTAAGCGAGCCGACATCAGTTCCCTGACTGATCGGAGGCGAGCCAGCTCCTACCCCGAGGGTGCCTTAAGAAGCCATCACCAGGTAAAAGCTGATGTGTTTGGAGTGACGTGTCATGTGGAACCTGAGCTTAGAAAAGACGTGCAGTTCTGGTTGACCCACACTTTGATAAAAGTAAAAGTCGTAGTAACATACTAATCTTACTTTCCTCCTTGCCTTGTCCTTAATTTGCCAAAACTTAAGCTAAAAGTGCCAGTGAAAATTGTTTGGTTGTTAACATCAAAACTGACGTTTTACTGTTCTATAAGTAATCTGAGTTGATGTGAATTGAAATTCGGACGCTGGTTTTATCTCATTTAACTCTGACGCTTGTTATAGGAATAACCACAATCAAGTGTAACTTATGATCTGTTCAATTTGTGTAAATAAATGATTGCATAGTCTTTTATGAATCAACTTGAACTCATCTGAACGTTCACTTATTGCGTCACTTTTCACTCCGCACAGTCAAGATATTAACAAGTAATGAGAAATACCTTGGTAAAAGTTTCCTCATAACCTTGTGTTTGAGAGATGTGGGAAAAGCTTAATTCACTTTAAGCCCACTCCTACACAAGTAATATTTTTAGAGAAGACTTTAACGTTTACCAAAGTATTTTTATGATAAGATACTTGTACTTTTACTCAAGTATCACTTTGAGGTACTTTATACAACACTGCTTCAAACTAAAATTACACAGATAACAGCTTTATTTAGCAAAACCAAAGCTAATGTTGTCAAAACTGTTGCTAAAAGTAGCAAAACAGTGGCTAAGATTAGCAGAACAGGAGCCCAAAATAGAAAAATCGGAGCTAAAAAAAATAAATAAAAAAAACCAAACAGCAGAAGAAGACAAGAGAACCACCATGCCAAAGCAGATGAACTTTCTTTTTGAAGGAATTAGATTTACATGTTTTTCTATAGAAAATATTTGTAAAATTAAAAAAAAATAATAAAACTTTTAAAAATATTTATTTATAAGTATTTGAGTATTTATAAGCTAGCTACAAAACCCATAAGTCACATCACCCATCTTCTGAGTGAGCAAAATGTTATGAAGGGTTAAAATAGGACAAATTATGCAGAAAATTAGCTAAAAACCACGTGTCAGCATTTACATGATGAGTTTGAATGTACTGTATGTGAGCACAGGTCTGTTTAATCTCTGGATCAAACTGATCAAATTACTCAAAGACTAGATTTATTTCATTCTTTAGGTCTTCTCAAGTCTCTCCTCATGGGGTTTGCTCAGTTTTCCAATCATTAATTGTGCAATTAATGTCCATGACAGCAGAGGTTATGAAAGCAGTTGAGTTATGTCTATAATCACAACTAAAACATCACTAGTACTACTAGCACTAGTGTATAATAAACACTATTGATAAGTCAAAATCAAAAGAGTGTTTGACATACCTTGGCTCCAAGCTTGTCATGAAATTGTTCCAATCCCAGTTCCATTTGATTACATCTTCAACTGTTCCAAAATGTCACAAAACAGAAATTCAATCAAACTGAAACAAACAGGCAGAGCTTGCACAATTAAAAAAGTAAATAAAAATAAAATGACATACATGTGAAGGTTTTTTTTTTTCCTTGTGTTCTCGCCTGATCGGCAGCTGAGTTGGTTCGCCTCCCGAGTCCCAACATTACAAAAAATTAATCATCTGATAAGGACTGTTCTGTGTAATGACTGTTTTGCTGTATTTGTGGAAGTAATTAAAAGCTGACACAGGTGTTCCTCGTGATGTTGATTGAGTGAGTCAAACTCAGTGAATACTCTACTGAATGAACAGACAGGAGATGAGAGACTGGATACACAGGATAATAAATAGAGCAATGTAGCAATCTCTGTTTCACAAATATATGCTATGAAAAATCTAAGTGACAAAGTGAGTCTGTGTGCAGGGATTTTAATCCAAAAAGTTGAATTTGGGGGGAAAGTTATCTGAGACTGTTTAGTTTCATTTGTTTTATCTGTTACATGAGGTCACAGGTTGTGGTTGTTGCTACCCAGCAATTTCAAAAAACAAACATTAATACATAAATTTAAAACCTGCTCATCATGTTCCTCCACTTGGAGAAAGTGTAAACGTGAACTTAGTTAAAGCTGTCAGCAGAGGTCGCTGTTGTCCCAAACTTCACTTTAGTTTCAACTGCATGTACAAATCCCTGCAAACATCCTCTAACATCTGAATAAAGCATTTCAGATGGATTTCATCCCTCTCACCGGTGCCACAGATGGATCCAGTCTCACAGAGCATGTTTCAAACTGATCTCCTCTGCATTTCAAGATAAACTCAGGCTTCATTCTGTTTGTTTGGATTACACAACAGAACATTTCCTCACAGATTTCATTTGGAGCAGATATTTTTTTCCTTTGAGTCTGTGCAAAAAAAAGTCAAGTTTGATATGTTCTCAAATATTTACAGCTTGGTTTGCACCAAATCCTTTCATGTCTGCTTGATTAGATGACATAAACATGTTGGGGTTTTGAGAGCATCAGCTATAATACTAGCTATAATTGTGTGTTAGAGAAAGTTAATTTAGACTGTCATTATAATGCTGTGTGTAATTCAATTGAATCCAGGCAATAATATTTGAATCTTTTTTCTGTCTTATTAAATATTTTAACAWCCAGATGTTTGACTTACCTAAAGCTTGTTTCTCATTCTGCAGAATAACACACATACTTTGAGCATATTTCTTGGTTTGTGTACTGTTACTGGCAAATAAATCAGGTATGTGACATAATATACTACATGTATAATACACTGTGTGTTTGTTCGTGTTGCATATTTAATRCAACATGCCAAGTTGTTTAATGTTGTAATGGTGCTTTACGGCCTTTTGTGTTCGTGTCCTGTTTTGTCCTAATTTGTCTTTTTTAACCACCAATGAATCCCTTTGGAGAATTCTTCTTTAAGGTGACTCCTTCACTGCTTCCTGTTTACAACATAACAGCAGAAAAACTCAAATCTTGACACTTTGCGAGGGTTTTTCTTACCTGTTTGCAGGTGCAGAAGTGCTGCTATAGAATTAGGATGTGTTTACTCTTGTTGTGTAGAATGTCTTCTATCAAGTAATTTGTGTTTTTGGTTCAATCTCCATGTTGGCCAGAGTCCTGTCTTGATATCTCAATACTTATTTTTTGTTTTATTTTGAAAACCCCAGTTCCTGTTTGTAGTTTGACATCCTCACACAGCTGTTCCTCGTTTGTCTCGTTCAACGTATAGACCCTGGTTTTTTCAGTGACTGTTTTGACAGCTCCTTGTTCTTTTTTACTGTCTGTCTTTGTGTAGTTTCAGCTTTAACATCTGTAGCATTAAAGTTCCTTGGATTTATCAAAACGTAACGCTCATTCTTTTTTTTTCTAGATAAATTGCTTTGACTGTATACAACCATAAACTGTTCTTATGCACCAAGTTGTTGCAAAGCTGTTGATTTATATCAATGGTGTAATATTCCCATGCGTTAGCAATCATTTCTTTGCATGACTAAATAAAAATAGCTTAGATAAGCACAAAGAGCTCTCTCTACATATTTTTTCTATCATTTGGTGTATAAAGACTTATACATGTCAAACTTGAATAAACCCGTACAGGTGATGCCACTGAACTGTTCGGCTGCTTCATTTAGAAGAATGAATACGCAGAAAAATCTTTTTTTAATATTATGAAAAAAAGGGGTCACTGTTCTTTTACAAAAGACCATTTCAGCTACACGGTTTCTACATTTCAACCAAACATCACGATCATCAGAAAAACTCTTCTCTGTGGCACGGATCTTCAGCTCTGAGACGTCCCCGAGCCGAGAGGCTAAAAACGAACAGTTTTAAGATAACCGCCGTGTTGCCTACAGACGTCTGTTTACAGGAACGGGAAAGGGTGACTGCAATGGCACAGTGTTGGCATTTTATGTAAAATACGACACATTAATAAATTAAACGCGATCATTTGATCACGACATAAAAATCATTTTACACAACAAACACGACACACGAGCGACAACAGTTCTTAGTTGGCACGAGAGGTGTGAGGACTCGGTGCAGGCTTTGGCACCACCGGGGAGGAGCTCCCTCATGAGCTGTTACTCACAAGTTCAAACAAATCATCGGCTCCAGTGTGCTTTTAAAAAAAAAACACTGTTAGAAAAGGGTACTAAAAAGATGGCTGTGCACTGAAAATCCTTGTCCAAACATGGCGTCTATAAACCATCATGCAAATTCACCAACACCAGATTTGGCTGCTTTTCTTCCCGAAGCGGAGATGCTTTAAACGCGGGGTTCAGTTTCCTTCTTTTGTGACGACACTGTTGAAAAATCTTTGCACGATAAACGGCTCCCTTCGGAACAACAAAAGGCTTTTTTTTTTGTTTGTTTTTAAAGTCGTTCCCTAAAACTTGCAAACAAGCATCGACATATAAATCGGAGCTCGGCTCTTCCTGTTTAAGTCAAACCAGCTGGTGTTACAAAATAWTTACAAACTCTTGTGTTCTCCCTTAAAACCCAGTCTCAATGTATTTATCTCAAAATGCTCCTCAATCAAACCACAGTGATCTCAACGTGGCCCAAAACCAAATGACGTTGGCGTAGACTGAGCCACTGAACGGTAACAGTGCTTATATCAAAGCTCCATTAAACTGGACTGATGGGAGTTTTTTTTTTTTTTTTTTTCTCCATTAAACTGGACTGATGGGAGTTTTTTTTTTTTGTTTTTTTGGTCTCCTCTTGTTCCCGTCAGCAACAAATCCAGTTCAAGGGTCGCCTCGTTGCTTAGTCCTGAGTCCCTGCCTCTCCATGATGTTCCACAGCTTGCGCAGGTTGGACTGGGTGATGACGTCGTCGGGTTTGAGCTGCAGGGCGCGCAGGTAGTTGGCCTCGGCCTCGGGAAGCTTCCCGTTCAGGTGGAGGATGGCGCCGAGGTTCATCAGAGCGGCTGGGTACTGAGGAAAGACAAACATTTATATTAGACACGGAATTAAAGCGTGGTGCCAGATGTTTCGCGGAAGACAAACCGTCACGCAGAACACGTGTGCGTCAACAGGCGGGGCGAATTACACGTTTGAAAYGGGGCCGATGTTCGAGAGGTTTCATCGTGTGGACGAACGGACCCATTTCAGGGAGTGTTTCCGCGGTCCCATCCGTCAAGGAACCGCGATTTGTTAAGCTGCAAAGTGAAACCATCTGGTGGAGGGAGCTGTGGGAACCTCCAACTCCAAGCGAGCAACGAACGCAACAAACAAACACACCCAAATCCCTTCCTTGCCGTCACATCCCACCCCCACACACACACACTTTGGACCTGCTCCCAGCCCCCACACACACTCCCAGCAGGACGTACGCTCAAAGATTTCTCCAAAATCACAACTCTTTTTCACAAAGATATTTTATCGGTTTACATCCCACTTTATTTTGCAACGGCTCACCGTGAGAGCTTGTTTGTTCCCACCTAATATGACTAATAAGAGTTGGGCAGGTTCAGTCATAACCACTTTGGTTTAAAACGGTAAATATCACAAGTTCAACAATAACAAGAGGTCAAATTATTTTTGGGGGGTAAGACGACAAACTGTAATATCCTGCAGACGGTCAGTAAACACGTCCTGCTCTGTACAGACGGTTGCATCATGGTCTGAGATGAATCTATCAGATGGTAAATAAAGGGTGTCAGCGGGGAGAAAAATAGCCTCCCTCACATATTCCCTGGCTTTTCTCAGCTCGGAGAGGCGGCGCTGAAGTCTTTCAGGACCTAAAACCATTTGGCCTAAGCTTCTGTTTGAGAGGCTTTCACTCTTCGAGCGGGCGGGTGCCGAGAAAATGTCAGAAACAAGAAGCGTTTTCAGCACGATAACTGATGAGAGAAGCCTTTAGCTGGTCCCTGCGTGCAGTAAAAAACTTTTAAAGCAACTTTTTTTTACCCCCAACAAAGCATAAACTGTTGAAATTAAGTCCACTTTTTGCTCRAAGAAAGAACAAAACCCTAAAATTTCTTTCAATGCTTTTACATTAATCATAATTGATAGTCTGTAAATACAATACTGGTAAAAACACAAATAGTTACCGTAAGTTTAAATGAACACATCTGAGAGAAAACACGTGCAGCAGATGAAGAGGTGCTAAAACTAATCCGACAGACATGAACCATTTCGAGACTCTGCTTCAAAGAGCGCTGCAGAATTACGCCGGTTAATGCAGCAGAGACATGAAGGTCGAAGCCTTTTTCTTTTTTTTTYCCACGGTGACGGCACATAAGTCACAGAGCCGACTATCTCAAAGCAGACCACCATAACAAATCACTCAAGGAAGCCCACCCTCCAGCTCTTTTTTTTTTTTTTACTTCCCTCTCCCTACGATTTTGAAAATGAATTCTCCAACGGCGCTCACATCCTCAGCTTTTGAAGTGACTGATGCACACAACAGGCTATAATAGCTTCAAACTTCCTTAGCCGTGTGTGCTGACATTAAGAGACATGATATCCCCCCAAGGCTCCCATCTGTTTGACTACAGAGATGATGGAGTGTTTACTCCGGAGCCGAGCGTGTGATTTTTAAGGATCCGACAGCAATAACCACTAAACTCATTTCTCCTTGTGTGTTTGCGAACACGCGTCCTGACACGATCCCATCGAAACAACCAGAACCCGGTTTCTGCTTTACACGTGGCCACACTGGAACAACGGTGCTGCAGCAAAGTGTCAGGGTGATGGGTAATGCATGGTTTATTGTAAATTGCATTTCCACAGCAGTCATGTGAGTGTGCAGCTCTGTAAGTGCAAACAGGTCCAGGTCCTTACATCTGGTCTGAGGCTGGCTGCACGCTCGTACTGCCTCTCTGCTGCCTCGTTTAGATTGGACTGTCTGTGGAGGAAGAAGAACAAATTAGAAACATTACCAGCAATTACAAAATGACACCAGAAATAAATACTAAAGTACAAACAGAACTTGCATTGTGATTGCATTTATTCATTGCTTAATCTTTGAAAAAATACATAATTTGTAATTGTTGGAAATTTATTACTTATAAGTAAAAAAAAATAACTTCCTGTGATTTTAAACTGGTTTTACTTGACATATAATAGCCCCAGGCTTTGCATGTTTAATTTAAAAAGAAAAGAAAAAGACTGCACCCCCTCCCCCGAAAAAAAAAAAAACCTCATGCAAAATACTCGTGTAGAGCTTTAAGCTCCGCCTACTTTCTTGCACACAATAATGGCATCACATTATGAAACAAATAAATAACTATCACACCCAACCATACTGGAAATCACTTAAAACATTTTTTAAGTTCTGGCATTTGTTTCCTCAGAATTAAAAAAAATATATAAATAAATAAAAAATCTCACTGTGGCCCTAATTGTCATCCATATAAACCTTTTATTTGAATGACAGCTTTTTGGCACACAGCGCTGTGCAGAAAGCTGAAACACAAAACATCAAATACTGTATGTGTATGTGGCTATAATCACCCAAGRTATAAAATGGAAAAGAATGAATTTAAAATACTCAAATTCAGAGAAAGTAAGAAAGTATTGGATGCAGTTTTGAAAGGTTTATATATGATGTGCATTCCTTCAAGGAGTGCTAGGTTTTTAATTAATTCAAAGTGAGAAAACAAAGAGATGTGAAAGTTAACACCTTTAAACACGAACATTTCTTGTTTTACACCCTTGAAATCACACACACACACAAATAAAAAAACGTGGATTCTCTGTGTTTGAATTTTACTGTTGTTGTCATTATTTTCAGACAACTTAGTCGTACAAACTTTTCTAGCTTCTTCGTAAACTCAAACCCTTCCTGGGATGTGTAAATAGGCTGCAACACCAATTTTCAAGGTCAAATATAGCTCATGTTTTGTTTAAACCAAAGAAGATAAGGATGCCGTTGATGACAAATCCTTCAAACTCCTCCCTCACATGTTACAGCTGCTTACATAAAGCAGCAGCATTTCGTCTTCTCCATACATGAAATATTATTCACAAAGAACATGAACTGGTCTTTGCAGTGCCAAAGCTAATAAGGTCTAAGAGTCGTTCCTGACATATTAATTCATATTTGTGAGGCTGTGACTTCGGTAAATATGAAGTTCGTTTGGGTTCGGGGACTAATACAGGAGTTTCCTTCCTTTGTTTTGTTTGAGACAGTTCTAGAAAGTCGTTAAACAGCAGATAAAGATCCAAGCAGAGGTGGAGCTAGACTTCTTTGCAAAGGGTGGCACAGGGGTGGGAGGGGCACAGACAAATAAAAAAAAAATCTACTCTTAATTTGAAAATTCAATATGGCCGCCACAGTTAATTTCAAATAGCTCTACATAAGCTGTTTTAAGAAATAATGTATTGACATTTTGTTTGATCGTAACTAAGAAAAAAAATGCTGATTGCTATTCCCAATTTAAGCTAATCGCTAATGCAAATTTTACACAGTGCTACTGTATAACTCAGCCATTTTTAAACAAATAAAGCTGAAAATTAGTGTAGCAGTAGGAGCCAGGAACAACATTTGACAAAATCTGAAATCTGAATTCAAATACAAAATGTCAGATGGCCACCAAAGCTAATTTTAATGTTTACAACTCAGCTGGAGCACTCCCAATGACATTCTGAAAGCTAATTTTAATTTTAAGCTAAGGACTAATGCTAATTTGAGAAAAAGATATATATCTGCCAATTTTATACTTTATTTCATAAAGCTGATAATTGGTATAACGGTCAAAAATTCAAGAACTCTGACGTTAGAGATACTAAACTGAAACTTGAGAACAATCCCTAATAGACTCCGCAAAAATGCAAGATGGCCAACTAAGCAAAAAAGGTATAAATCAGACATATTTTAGAGATTTTATGCTGAAATTTAGTGAAGAGATAGCTGAGAGTGCTGTTAAAAACATTCTGAAATCAAATAGAAAAAATATCCAAGATTGCCACTTGTCAATCATTGGGGGCACCTGGGGGTGAATAATCAGGTGTGGTGCTTGCCACCCTGTCCACCCCTCTGGCTCCGCCCCTGCAGACGACGCCTCAGTCAGAACGCTGCAGCGTAATCAGTCAATAGATTTACTCTTTCATTTTCAAAGCACATTTCAACTGAGCCCTGAGACACTGAAAGGTTTTATAAATCCTCTGTGGTGCCACTTTGAGGGGGATGCTTTGTTGCAATGACTTCAGCTGATATCTAGATGTTTGTTGTTCCTGTTTTCCATTCAGAGGACATTTGCAGTCCCGTTTGACACTTTAAAAAATATATATTTATAAGCTGTCAGTAGATGCAGCTGCCAAACTTTAAATAAAGGTTCTTAAGTGGCTCCTTTACAAGATCTCAACTAAAACCTCATCATGATGGGCTAAAACTTCACTGATGCGATAAAGATTTTTAAAGATACSCACTAAAATGCAGAAGTAGAAGGCAATACACCCGTTGGAGCAGGACATTAATACAGGATTTTAATATCAATTCTTAAAACATGTCGTCATTTTAAACCCAGCTGAAAGGCCGTTTTCTCGTATTTTTATTTAGCTAACCTTAACATGTGAGCAGCATTGAAGACCACGTCGAACTCCGAGCCGTCCAACTCCGCAGCTCGTTCTGCCATCTGCGCAGCCTCACCCAGACGAGACTGCTCCAACAGGAACTGCCCTGCACGCAAAGGACGAGCTGGTTTGTTGGAAGAACAACAACTACAACTTGGATACAATGAAATGTTTTAACAACAAAAGTACATATAGACAGTTAAAGAAGCTAAAACATAAAAAAAGATGTGTTCTGCTTGTTTTTCAATGTATTTGAAAGYGTTCGGCACACGTCGGGTCATGTTTACACTGAAGTGTCACTGAGAACAATGGCCGGAAAGAAGATCTTGTCTACGTTTTCACCTGCTTTGTCCTCAATACATGCATGTTTTTGTGTGTTTATCTGCTTGAGTTGTAGATTTCATCACTCCTTACACACCAAAAGCTCATCCAGTAAACCCAGGTTAGGCTAAGGAAGACAGATTTAAGATAAGTTAAAGCAACAGTCCAAACAAACATCACCTATAGCGAGAGGATCCAAGATAAGACAGAATGTTAAATTAAAAGGAGAGCAAACGCTTTGAAAGAGGAAACAGCCTGGTCCAAAGACAGCAACAGACCCCGAGGTACTGATCAACCCAAACTGAAAAGTTTACAGCCAGAGAAAGCACCGAGAGGAACTGAGAGAGATAAGAAACGGAGATTGGGACGCCGCACAATGGTGCTTCTAGCAGAGTGGGACAGATTTCATTTCCTGTCAATATCCTGGAGGAATTACAGTGAACTGATACAAAACACCGCACAAACAGGAGCACATCAGCAGGAGGAACACGGTGTCATGTTTCACTTTCTGTCACGAATAGTAAACAGTGTCTAAACAGATCAAAATCTGCGCTCATGTGTGTACCATCTGAAGTTCAAACAGCTCCGGCACCTCCAGGATCAAAGCTAAAGACAAAGTAAAAGCCATTAAAAAGCTCGGATGTGTGACTTATTCCCCTGCTTTGATTCTTTTAAACATTCGTATCAGGTTACAGGAGCGGCAGGCCCTGGACATAACTTAGTTTGTAACAGAAACTCTGATGGAAAATTGTGTTTTTGATTACATCTAAGAGGAAATCGATAAGAGCACTACAGCTGTTAAAGCCAACCTGAACAAGCGTTTCATAGATAGGCTGGGGGGTTGAAAGAGTGAGCTAAGTGGGYTTCTGCATCATCCTAAATCCACATTTATTATCTTTGATTTAATTTAATTTAAACTTAATTCTTAAATTATATATTTATGTGTGAATAAACAAGTACAAAGCAAAAGAATGTGGCATAATTTTATCAGAAAATGAACATTATTAAAAATAAAAGTCTACAATGAAGGCCAATAGAGTACAATAACATAAATGTTATATGGTCAAAATACACCCATAATGCATTGCTGCTTTCCTTTTCTCTTTGTAAAGATTTCCATTGCAGATAAAGATAATGGTGTTTTAAAAAAATACATAGTATAAATAAAGGTTTTGATATATTTTCTCACCATAGTGCATGTAGCAGTTTCCTTTTGTCGGATCCAGTTGAATTGCCCTCAGGTAATATTTCTCTGCATCGGTTTTCTGCCCCTAAAAGCAAAGAACAAATCAGTATATACA